TTTGATATGGTAATTAATACTGAGACACTAATTTGGGCAAAGAGCGCTAATGACTTGTTTAAGACTTGAATCTTGCAGCTGAGGACTTGCAACTCGACTTGAACTTGCCTGTCTTGACTCGGGACTTGACTTGGGACTTGTCTGTCTTGACTCGGGACTTGACTCCAGACTTGAATGCAAAGACTCGAGACTTACTTGTGACTTGCAAAACAATGACTTGGTCCCACCTATGCAAACAGCTATGTCCCTTTTGTTGTCTGATTGACATTCCTCCTTTCAGGTCATTGTACATGGCCTTTTTGCTGTGAAATCTTTACTGTTTGTTTATAAAGTAAATGTAAGAATAACTTTTATATTGATAGACATTTTTAACAAGTTTTTTTTTTCTCATATTCTCACTATATTAATGAGCCATAAAAGCCTGACGTGATGCACAACAAATATGATGCTCAACAAAAACACACATATGCAAACTATATTGTAGGCTATTATATTTTGTCTAAACGTTTAATAAACAATAAAAAATATTTTTCTGAATATGTCTTTACAGACGTAAATACTTAAGTTTAATGAAAAACGTTGTAAATGCTGAATGGTTAAACGGTCAACGCTATTAGAATGTGAAATATTAAAATATGTTACATATTTTTGTTTCAAATGTCTCAAACAAACGCAAATTATTTGTTGTGAAGTGAGTTTCTGAACGACTTTTACGATTACATGCACTCATCACATTTGTTTATGATTTTCTTTATTGTTTTAATGATTTTCTTTAATGAAAATACACACTATCCTACATCTAAATGGCATATTTAATTATACCAGTATCAATTTGAAAGCAATTTTATTGGTTGGATTGCTTGAAATAATACTTTGGATTGCCAAAATACCAACACACACAAATTTAAATAAACACAAAAATACAATTAAAATTATGATCAAAACAGCGTGTTGCTCAAAAGAGCGTTGCTGCAACTTGTTCCCATAACAGCTGCATTTGACTATTTTGACAGTTTCCTGATTATACATGCATCTCCAAGGTTAAAGAAATCTAAATAATAAAGTTTTACATGATTTTCAGACAACATTCGCGTTTCCTAAATCTGTACAGTGAGACTATTATGACCCTCCGCGCTTTCCGTCGTTCCCACAACAAACTTCAAGTTGAGTCGCCAGCATTTTTTTAGATATCAAAAGCGGACAGCCATTCACACGCAAGCTACTGCAGGATGTTACGTTTCACTAAAAAAACAGTGTGCACAGTTTTGTAAATACGTTACGCTTATTGAACTTAAACGAGCTTAACTACTCTCTGTTTACTCTCTTGGGCGGTTTTAATATGTCAGAAGCTGAATTTCGATAAACATCTCGTCAGTGCTTGTAAGTGTTAGTAAGGGCGTGTGTCAGTTACTTTCGCTTGTGAAGTTCGTTTTAAATCACTATTTTATGTCATTTAGATGCTGGAGTGGCTGTCACACCGTCTGAAATGGATTAAATCATGCCGATGGAGGAACAGAGCTGGTGTGTACTGATTTCTGTTATAATGTGTTACTATTTGAAAGTGCTTTCTGTCATTATTTATTCCCTCTTGTCTCGTTACAAACCGGCATGCTGTTATTTTCCCGTCCATTTGAACGCAAAATTAATTTTGAGGAATGTTTACCCAGCTCTTTGCATCAGTTATTCAGTTCCAGCTCTGGAGAAGAGAGGGGCTCTAGAGAGAAAGGTGTGCTCTACAGATGGCAGGGCTATTTCTGCAGGGTGACCCCAGAGAGACTGCTGCTGTCCAGGCCAGTGCTTCATGCTGCACTGGGGACTTTACATGGACTTCTGCTGACAGAAGGTCAGAAGCAAGCTGTAAATGAAGATGAAATGACCGCATAATTCAGTTGCATACTGTTGTAGTCAAGAGTTTACATGCACCTTGCAGAATCTGGAAAATCTGGGATTTAAAAAAAATAAATAAGAAGGATCTTAAAAATTGCATGTTTTTGTCAGTACTGTATGATTTTGACATCCATCTTTTCACCGTAAGGACAATTGAGGCACTCATCATAACACAACAGTCGCAAAAGTGTTGGACATTCATTGATGCTCAAGAAAGTAACATAAGGAAAGAGAAATCTTTTTGAAGTTGATGATCAGGGTACTTTTTCTTATTTTACCTTTTGGGAAACATGTAAGTATCTAGTTTAACTTCTGAAAGACAGTATTAAAATATGAGCTTTAGACAGAATAAGAAAAATGTACATGTCTTCATCTTTTTGAGTTGTTTACAGATTCTGCAAGGTGTATGTAATTTATACGTCATGGATAAAATTGATCTTTTATAGTTTTTCATTTAATTTATTCCTCTGAGATATATTAGTTGAGTTTTTGTTTTGTAACAAATCAGTAAAATTTTTAATTTTCATGGCTGTGTTTCACCCTCTTCTGGCCCCTTAAATATGTTGTTTTAATCTGTAGGAAATTGTATTTTCTCATTAATTTTCTATTTAATTTAATTAATTAATTTAGTAATGGTACCAATCCTTCTTCCTGACTGATCTGACTGAAGACTGATCTCTTGGTCTCTTGGACAGTATTGTATAATTGTCAAACATGTTTCTCTCTCAGATGGGCATGTGTATAATTTTGGCGAGCAGCCATGGAAACGAGTCGAATCTCAGCCTTCCGGCCCTGTTATAGAGAGCGCCCTGAGCGGTCAGCGTGTGATCTCTGTGTCAGCGGGCAGCTATCACTGTTCTGCTGTAACGGAGGATGGCCTCATCCACATGTGGGGGGAGAACTCTCATGGCCAGTGTGGCGTCTCTGGAATGGACCAGGTACCCAGTCCCACTCCCGTTAATGTGGTGGATGGCGAGATCCATCCTCCGCAACTGGTCCAAGTCCTGAATGTAGCCTGCGGAGCGCAGCACACTCTGGCCCTGTCAAGAAAGCATGAGGTGTGGGCATGGGGTAGTGGCTGCCAGCTGGGACTAGTCACCAATATATTCCCGGTATGGAAACCCCAGAAGGTGGAGCATCTTGTGGGAAGATATGTGGTTCAGATTGCTTGTGGTGGGTTTCACAGCCTGGCTCTGGTTCAGATTCTTTCTCCCCCAGACGACAGTCAGCAAGCTCGGGATAGATGTGGGCAGTGTAAGCAGAGCATTTACACCGTGACTGACAAGGATGACCATGTTGTTATCTCTGATGAGCATTACTGCCCACTTGGAGTGGAACTGACTGATTCTAAAGAAGGTCGAAGGTCAGGACAGAGTTCTCCAACCCAGACACCACAAAGTAAAAACTCCTCACCCCACTTCGAAGTATCCCCGTTGACCTTGAAGAACATCTGCGAAGACCCAGGTTTTTCAGTCAGATCTCAGCAAAATACAACAAGCCAGGAGTCTCAACCAGTCCCTGCTTTATCTGAAACCGGACATGCACGTCTACGACGAACCAAAAGCAATCCCTACCCTGATGAGCAAGCTCTGACAGACTACCTCAAAAGAATTTCAGACCAGACCCTCGCTGAGCAGGCCGAGGCCAACTCTTTGGGAGGTTCCCATCCTCCGAGCCGTCAGTCGTCACTTACATGTCCTTTCCGATCAGACCAAAGTGATGAGCTTACACTACGTCCCTCTTCACCAGCACTGAGTCGAACTGATATCAGATACAGACAACGCTGTGCATCAGATACTGTCACAGACCGGAAACACTCTCTCCATTTAATACCAACACTGGATTCCACTTCTGATGATTCTTCACTGCACTCAAGTGTGGATGGAGGCGTTTGCATCAGTGACCACGTGGTTAGCAATGGATGTTTATTTGAGTCCTGTGAGGAGGGAGGAGAGACAGCTGGAATGGACTTCTGTCCAGCAGATCCTCTTCAAGTCAAGAAGAGCACCAGTCTGACGGACATCACGTTAGAGGACGCTGAAGCACGTAATCGCAGAAGGTCTTTACCTGGCTTCTCTCCAGGTATTGTGAACCTCAAAAGTTTATTTGAAAAATATGTTTATAAAATATTAAATCAGGGGCTAATATAACATTTTATTCATTCTACATGAGTGTGTTGTCTTAATCAACCAATCAGGGCTCAACAATAAGTTGTTTTCTTCTAAAGTTTAGATTTTAGTGGCCCAGCCAACATTTTAACTTGCTAATCATCACAAAATATGACTTTTGATTTTAGTTGGGCGTTAGCCAACTGGATGTTATTATAGTGGTGAGAAATGAGCAGAATTTGCAAAACCAATGTAGAAATGCAAGGAAAAAAAAACAAACATTTAAATTAGCAAAATAAATGAATGTACATTTTTCAGTAACCATGCAGTAAATTTTTCATCAACTGGCTTCAGCTTGCCATCCATATTGTTGAGCAATGGTAAGAACATATGTGACCTTGGAGCACAAAACCAGTCATAAGGGTCAATTTTTTTGAAATAGAGATTTATACATCACCTGACAGCTGAATAAATAAGCTTTCCATCAATGTATGGTTTGTTAGGATATGACAATATTTGGCCGAGATACAACTATTTGAAAATCTGGAATCTGAGGGTGCAAAAAATCTAAATATTGAGAAAATTGCCTTTAAAGTTGTCCAAATTAAGTTCTTATCAATGCATATTACTAATCAAAAATTAGGTTTTGATATATTTATGGTAGGAAATTTACAAAATATCTTCATGGAACATAATCTTTACTTAATATCCTAATGATTTTTGGCATAAAAGAAAAATCGATAATTTTGACCCATACAGTGTATTGTTGGCTATTGCTACAAATATGGCCGTGCTACTTATGATTGGTTTTGTGGTCCAGGGTCACATATGACCTGCCAAATACTATGTACTTTATCTTGCTACTTTAACTTGCTACTATTTAAATCATATGCATTTTTTATGCAAAACACTTTCACTTGCAGAAGAAATGAATCGGCTGCACAAAGGGTATTTCTACGATGGCATTGGTTACTGAAAGCTTTACTTTTGCATGATGCTGCATCCACATTGATCGTAGTTCCAAGAGCACTGTCATATTGGTCAGCGAGACAAAAAGTTACAGAGTGCACTTTTAATTGATAGTTCACCCAAAAGTGAACATTGTGTTATCATTTACTCACCCTCATGTTGTTCCAAACCTGTATGACTTACTTGCTTACACTTTATTTTAAGTTGTCCTTGTTACAGTGTAAATATACATTTACTGAGTATAATTAATTAACTACATGTACTTACCATATAGGTAGGGTTAGGATTAGGATTTAGTGTTACTTGCATGTAATTATGCTTAATTTATTGTTATTATAATAGTAAGTACATGTAACGTGCAACAAGGACACTTGCCACTTATTTTATTCTTTAGAACACAAAATAAGATATTTTGAGAAGTGTTTTTGTCTATACAATGGAAGTTAAAGGTCACCAAAACTGTTTAGGTTCCAGGTTTAAATACTTTTTTACAGGAATTACAGAATTATTATTTTGGGGTGAACTCTCCCTTTAAAAACTTAAGGTTGTAGAAATTCAGTTTATTTAGTTGGTTATTTGCATGAAGAGTATTTTTAATACGCTGTTGAATTTCAGTGTCACCTTCTGGCAGTCATCGAACCAACCATTTAAGAGCTGTAGTAGGTGCCAGGACTACTACTACTACCTCAGAATGCAGAAATATCCTTCCTTCCCTCTACACTGAGGTGTGGAGTTGGGGGAGGGGCCAGGAAGGTCAGCTAGGTCATGGAGACTATTTGCCCAGGTACATTAGAGCCCTCATAAACACATAAGTGTTTTGTTTATGTTTAACTGTTCATGTCCTTGACCACAGTGCATGACTGGAAACATATTTTGGTTTTCCTCCTACAGGTTACAGCCTCTCTGCATCAAGAGCTTAAGTAAAAAGGAAGTTGTCAAGATCACTGCTGGAGCAAATCACTCATTGGCACTGACAGCTCAATGCCAGGTAGAGAGGGACTTCAGAATATTTCTCCTTTCGATTATAGACTGCAACAGTGTCTTCAAAATTCTTCAGTAAGGCGTTTTAGGCCTGAACTGATTCATAGCAAAAATATACATACAAAAATATAAAAAAGATGCAAAGTACAAGACTGTATATTTATAAGGAAATTACTACTGTATTAATCCCTTAAAGCCTTGCAAGTGATGTAACAGCAGCCTGAGTCTCATTTCTGTCATTTTAAATGTGTTTTTTTTTTTATATCAGAAAACTGTAGTATTGCATTTGAATGGGATTGTTTGCTTTGTAAAAACTTTAAGTAGGTACTAGGTAGCTAGCTAATGTTACCCTACCAGCTGTCAAAACATAAGCACAATCCTGCTTGTCACGATTGCCATTATGATAACAGCAACTTCTCTTATCAGAGGCTCTTGTCTCATTATTGTAAGTAGTAGTGTAGTGCTGCTCCTTGAATTTGGCTGTTAAATACAGTGAAGTTGCATATGATTGAACACCTTGTAGCTTACGTTAGGTCTGTTTTGAATATTTAGGCCACTGTAATTTTAGTTTTGTTTATATACTTTACTATTTACTTTTTATTACAATTTTAGTTTATATGTTAGCAATTTTGTTAGTAATTTGTTGCAATTTTTTTCCTTTTTTAAATTTACTATAGCTTCAATATATTTTTGTTTAATTTAAAAAATTGTAATACTTCAACTTAAACTTAGTTATTTCTGTTACATGCCAAAGCAACATGTCTAATTTCCATTTAAGCTTTATAAGTATTTATATTTCAGCTTTATTACGACTAGCGAAAATAATTATTAATAGTTTAACTATTAGTATATAGTTATAGTATAACAAATTTTTCTGTTCTCTTCTGTCACCTCTTCCTCATAACAATAAGTGTGTATTTCTTCTCTCTCACAGGTTTATTCCTGGGGAAGTGACAAATTTGGACAGCTGGGTCGTATAAATGCTCCTAGCACAGTTCCTAATCTCGCCATGGTAATTATTTGATGATATGCAATCACTTTTTCTGCAGACCTTCCCTTTTAAGGCATACAGTTCCCTGTATAACAATGAATGTGCTTTTATGTGACGATAGATTTCTGAGGGTATCCGTGTGTGGGACGTGGCAGCAGGGCAAACGCACACTTTGCAGCTGGCTGATGGAGACTGTTATCAGCCCATACTGTACTACAGCGGAGAGCAGGTGCTGGAGAGCACTGACAGCGCTCATCCCCTCTCCGGGACCTACACCCAGACGCCCACCCTTCTGCCCTTCTGCATGAATGTTCGTACAGACCGTTATGACAGTTTATTCTGTTGATACAGTTATTTATTTTTACTTTGTGTAGGCTGTTAGCAAAATAACATCTGCATTTATTAGTGTTACACAATTAAACTTATAAATTATCTGAAGCCATCCTGCTTCACTGTAGAGTACACCATTGTAAAACATAGCACAAAATCAGTGACAAAGAAAAGGAAAAAAAATAATATTAATGATTAAATATATATATATATATATATATATATATATTAAATAATAACAAAATAGCCAAAATAAAATAGACCTTCCAAAATACATCTAAAAATAAAACTACTTTTTAGTTATATTATTTGATGTATTTTTGTTTATAAATCTAAAAGAAAATAGCAGTCTTAGATGAAAAACTAAATTAAAATTGGAAATGTTGCTGTGTCAGGTGAAATTCATTGAACTACTAAAAATAACTAAAATATATATATATATATATATATTAGTGCTGTCAAAACGATTAATTTATAAACAATAAATAAACTAATAACTAATAAATTAATAAATAAAAGTTTTTGTTTACATAATATATGTATGTGTACTGTGTATGTGTATTATGTATATATAAATACACACACATACAGTATATATATTTAAAATATTTACATGTATTTACATGCATACATTTATATTCATATTTATAAATGTATATTCAATTTGTTATATATAAATATATTTAATATATAAACATAACATTTTTCTTAAATATATACATGCATGTGTGTGTATTTATATATACATAATAAATGTACACAGTACACACATATATATATATTATGTAAACAAAAACTTTTATTTTGGATGCGATTAATCGTTTGACAGCACTAAATAAAACTAATGCTTACACCGAAATAAAAACTAAATAAAAGTATTTGTAAATATTTTTAAAAACAATGTAATACAAAATACAAAAACACATAACAAAATTACAACTACAAATAAAAATAAAAATGAAAACATATATAAAAATTTAATTCAAAATGTTGATAAAATCTATAATAGTATATAAATAATTAATTGAAACTGCTTGAATACATAATTTTTCCAGCAAGTATCAGTGATTGGTTAATGTATAATATACTGGAAGGTAATCACATTCATTTTAATATTTGTGATTTACTGTTATGTAAAGTTGCAATTTACTCTAATTTGTCTGTGTCCTTTGTTTAGATTGGCTATGTGAGTAAAGTGTTTGGGGGAGGACTGAATTGTTTGGCTTTGGCCGATCAAAACGCGATGGGTTTCATAGCTTCAATCCATGAACTAGCTTCAGCAGAGAGGAAATTCTACTGCACCCTCAGTAAGGTGAAGAGCAAAATCCTGAGCCCCCTTCTAGCCCGTGGTATGTAACAGATTGTTTTACTCATTGCACATTTTGTTTTGAATTTGTGGATTGTTACTGTTTTTTTATATTGTTTGTACCCACTCTGTTGTAATGTAGCAAGTTTGGCCTTGTCTCTGGGTCAGTCCTCCATGTTGCTGTTTCAAGAGATGGCTAGTAGTTTCAGCAAGCTTTGCCATCTGACAGGACAGCACTCGGTATCCCTCACCAACTTCCTGCAGCGAGGCAAAGTGATCAAAACACTGGTCTTGATCAAGAGCACAGACATTTTCATGGACACGTATAAAGAGTAAGTATTCAAACTCAAGAGACGTTAACATCTTTTATATTTTCAAATCTCTATGATAACATCAGTGATGATGTTTATCCTCAGGTACAGCGATCCAGTAGGAAACTTTCTTGTTATGGGAGGATTCCAGTCATTGCTGAAGCCCTCACAGTGCGTTGTCATACTCATTAATGTATCATCTATGGGCATCATTATAATATATGCAAATAATATATTTGGTCATGCATGATCTGTTTCTTCAGAGAATGCTTTGGGAAGAAGCTGGAGTTGATACAGACTCTGCTAGAGTCCAAGGAGAAGAATGCATCACCCTATGATCTGTTAGTCAACTTGTTTTATATGCCCTTGCAGCACCTGCATGGGTATAACAGATTACTTCTAAAACTAGCCCACTGCTTTGAAGTGGTAAGAAAATTATTTTCATTATGCTCTTTAAAGGAATGAAAGTGGCATAAAAATACATGACAAATCTTTTATTTTTTAGAACACTGAGGAATATGATTGGATTCAAAATGGCTGCTCCAAATATGAAGCTTTAGCCTGCCTTGTCAGCAAGCAGAGAAGAGATGCTGAGGCCACTTTCAATTTCTGGAAGAACTTCAAAGGGAAGAATTCGGTATGGTGCAGAATGTGAATAATTAGTTGCAGTCCTGGCTTCTGATGATGTGCAGTAGTACCTGTCTGCCAGGTCACTGTGCAGCTCCCATAGCTGTTGTTTTTGTTGGATAGCAACATGCTTGTATATGAAGGACTACGTACATTACCGTTTAAAAGTTTGGGGTTGGAAAGAAGTCTATTTATTTAATCAAAATGTATTTAATCAAAAGTACAATAAAACAGAAATATTGTGATATATTATTGCAATTTAAAATAGAAATATTGTAAAATATTATTAGATTTTTTTTATTTGTATATATATTTTAAAATGGAATTTATTCCTGTATTGGCAAAGCTGAATTTGCAGCAGCCATTATTCTAGTCTTAAGTGTCACATGATAATTTGATGCTTAAGAAATATTGTACTGTTTTACAGTTTTCTGGATTCTTTGTTGAATAGAAATTTCAAAAGAATAGCATTTATTTGAAATAGAAATCTTTTGTAACATCAGTTTTGATTAATGCATCCTTGCTGAATAAAAGTATTAATTCCTTTATAAAAACTTACTGACCCCAAACTTTTCTACAGTATATCCTCCAACTGAATTGTATTTTTGTTTCACAATAACGTCAATTTGCTTCTGTCTTGCTGCATGTCTTGCTCTTTAGTTAAATTCACAATAGTTAGGTGTGCTGTCTAACATTTTAATATTTTACAAACCTTTCTGTGCAGTAAGATTGGAAAATTCGCTTGTTTGCCCAGCAGCCATTTTAAATGTTTCCATTCAAATGCAAAAAAGAATTAATTTGTAAATGAAGTTGAGCGAACACAAAAAGCATATGAAGTTTTGACAGCTGATGCTTTAAGCATTCACATATATAACAAAATTCTCAGCGTGAAAACACCCTCATAAATGAGTAGGGATGTAACGATTCACTCAACTCACGATTCGATTCGAATCACGGTTTTGATTTCCCGGGTCGATTCACTTTTTTTTTTTTACAAAATGAGATTTAAGACAAATTATAAATTAAATTTGTCCTTTTATTTTTTACAAAACTAAATTGAAATTTTAAAACAAGCCCCAAATCAAATAAATAACACAAATAAAATATATATCTTCATATAAACAAAATAAGGCTTTGTCTATGCTCTTTCCATTTAAATTAGAGGCAACCACTGCATTTTAATCATGATCCAAACAAAGATGCTGCATACATGCAACATGAGCAGTTTTTAATCTAAATTAGATTGTATAATGTCGAAATTTGAAGCAAAAATAGAATGGTTTGACTTCAGTTTTGTGAAACTATACATACAAAAATATCTGCATGAAACAGAAACAGCAGACGAGCTGAATGAGACACAGATACACTCTCTGCCAGCAGGTGGCGCTTAAAGCATTTCCTTGGTTTCGGCTGTAAACAAAGCAATGCAACGCTGCATTATAAAAAGAAAAAAATACCATCTAAACTTTTATAAAGACTAAGTTCCCTTCAGACATACATTCATATAAACTCCTACCTCTAAATGAATCGCGATTTGTTTAGCATCTCAACCAATTTGAATCGTCACATATTTGAATCGATTTTCAACCGGCTCGCGGTTATTCGTTACATCCCTATAAAATGAGTGCGTGTGAAGAGTACTTGCAGTATGCATTTGAGCAGTAACAATCTACTAAGATCAAGGCAAGTAGCAAATTAGATGAACTTTTCATTCTTACCACATATGTTGTCTTTACTAAGCAACAGTTTCTGGGTCAATACGAGAATTGTTTTAATAATCAACTAATAATAAATGTTGGCCTGCTGTAGTGGTTCACGCATAATGCAATATAATCCGCCACTGTGAAAATGTACCAGTGTTTGGCTGGTGTTCATTTCCCTCCCTGTACTTGTGACTGTACAGTATATTACTTCCACTGTATAATGTGGTTAAGTTGGCCTAGTTACTGTTTCCTTTAATGAAGTTGAATTGCTCAGCGTGCTGCAAGACTAAATAGTGTCAGATATGACCACATAAGTTTCAGATACATTTCTGTTTAGTTAATGTGGAAACCTGTGTGTGGCTGGGTGGATTCATGTGCACACGTCATGTGTCTGCATGTGTGCCGTTCTCTTTACGTGACCTTCTCTTTCTCAGGAATCCCTGCGTAAGCCGTCTCGTCGTCTGGTTTGTGAGAGCAGTAATAAAGCTCTGACGTTACAGAATGCTGGAAGATTCTCTGCCAGCTGGTTCATCCTCTTCAGTGATGTGCTGGTTCATGCACAGGTTAATTCATTTTAACACAAAATTTACCACCCTGTAATTTTCATTACACTCATTTTTCATTTTATTCATGTTTTTTTTTATTGTCTTCATTCATTCAGGGAACTATTCCATCAAAGAAGCTTGTGAGTATTGTGTTTTTCAATTCCTGCTTTCACAGAAGCAGTGTATACTTTACGGCTTGATTTGAGCCTGAAAAAAAAAACATTATAAAGCCTGAAATGTCCACATGGAAATTGTTGTTTGATGAAATTTTCCCATGCTAAGGCCTCTTCGTTTCTTCCTTTTGAATCATCAGCTGGCATCTTTTCCCTTTATTATTTTTGGTTCTAATTGAAGTTCATTATTCTGCCAATGAAAGATGCATGTAGAGTCATGCTATATTGTAATCAGATTAATGGAAAGAGTGGGCAACAGAGATGATAGTGTGAATGTTAAACCTTGCTTTAACATGGAATCTTTATGCATTAACTATTGCTATTAACTATTAACATTTTGTGCCCAATGTTAAACTTGTTTAAAACCGATCAGTGTGTTGAAGACGTGGCCTGGCAGATAGTGTGCATATTCCAACGTGAATTCAAGTCTTGCTTGTGTCATTTGCAACACATTCTCCCTGTCATTATTAGCCAGCATTGCTGGCTTTTTTTGCAAAACATTGCTATTGTTTTGTTGCATTGTTAACTAAAACTACTATACTGTTAAATAAAGCTTAAGTAAAATATGAATGTTAGATGAAAAAATTTAAATATTGCATTGGCAAATAACTTGAATAATAAAATTACTATAATATAAAAAGAAAGCCATATAGAAATATGTATAAACAAACCCCAATATAAATGACAGAAACACATAACAAAATTATTAAAATGAAAACTGAAAATATTAAGATAAAAGCTAGTTCAAAATTGTAATACATGCTATAATAGTATATAAATAATACTAGTACTACATCAGTAAAATGGCAGAAAACCAGAAATGGAATTAAAAAATAATAGTTAGGGCAACTTATAAGACATTTTGATCCTAGTTTTAAACTGGTTTTAAACACTGAATCTCCATTAATTTAAACTTTAAGAATATATCAGTTGTTGTTTTCGAGCGTGTGCGCGTGTGTGGTCCGGGTATACCATGTCCCCACAAGGATAGTAAAACTTGCAATTTTTGATGATGTGGTTACAAAATGTAGATGTCCATGCGGAAATAGTTTTTAAAATCAGACTAAATGTTTTTTTTTTGTATTATTTATTTAGAAAAATTACAAGTGCCCATTTTTTGTAAGTGGTAGGTTTAGGGGTAGGGTTAGTGGATAGAATATAATGTTTGTACAGTATAAATGTCTATATCTATGTAGTCATCATAAAACCAAAAAAAACATTGTGTGTGTATTTGTTTGTCGGGTATGCTGGCATATTGCCTCATATTGCTTTGTGGTTTTTGAAACTTGAACTGTGTATGTTCTGCTGTGATGTTTTCTTTGCACGCTTGGTTGGTCTGTGTTTCTTCTTGGTCTAATTTGCCAGTGATTTGAAAATGGCAATGACATTTAAATGTTTCAATTCCTCCCTTTTGTCTGCACATGCTTTTAATAACAGTTTTTTTACAATGTCTAACCACTCACACACCTCAGAGGGGCTCTACTTCACCCATATACTATCATATCATGCCATAGCACATCATATTGTTCTGTTTCGTTGCATACTTTTTATTTCCTTAAAATTAAATGGATCTTTTTAACTGTTGATTTCTGCCTGTAGTTGTAGTAATATGTTTGGGTGTTGGGTGTGGTTTCCCTTGTGCAAGAGTAGTTACATGGGTGTGTGTTTGTGTGAATGGGTGGGTGAAGCTCCTTGAGGAACTGACAGTGTTTAATATGGCTAATGTGTTTTTTTTTCTTTCAGGCAAACCTGTTTTATTCACAAATTAGATGCATTTCCTGTTTAAAGGTGCCATAGAATGCATTGATACAATATTTTAAATTGTTCTCTGATATCTACATAGAAGGTATGTGGCTTAGGTAAGGGCAAAACCTCCCCAGAAACAGTTTTACATGTCCATTTACAACCCTAGGATTTGTCCCTAGAATTAAATGGTCTGTTTTGACCTTATTTGGAAGGATCATGAATAATAATGTTGAGATCTGCTCTGATTAGCTGTTTCACAGTGCGGCTCAATGTTGAGCTCTGCTCTGATTGGCTGTTTCACAGTGTTGCTCATTTCAGTAGCTCACAGCAGGAAGAAACAGGGAAAATATATATTTCAATACATTCTCTCGCAGTTATATCGTTGGGTAATTATACTGTATATAAAATGCGGGCATCAGGGAGCCGCTATTAATATGCGGGGCATTGAAACTTATTTCGAATGCACGATCGCTTTTCATGTTATTTTCATAAATCTGCAGCAGCAGAGCAGAGGCTTTAGTTTTATTCCCTTCTTAATATACTGTAGATGAGGGAGTGGTTTGCTTATAATGTAACTGATTAAATTCTCTCTCTCTCTGTTTCTACAGTTCTCATCTCATTACGTCTATCCACTTGCTACACTCTGGGTGGAGCCCATCTCAGATGAAAGTGTGGGCCAGTAAGTTATCCATCTTAACATCTTTTATCTTTCGTTTTCAGTTTTAGTTCATTTTAATGTAATTTAGTTTAGCACATGACATTTCAATAAATATTAAATGGTCTGGAATGGTCAACCCATCAACCAATGAAAAACGTTTCTGCCCCAGTTTAAACTATGACTGTCATTACTAGACATGGCCTTAAGCTGACCACACCTGAAGATAACTTTGTTGTTCTGGCAACATCCCCTTTGGAAAAGGTAATGCTCTTGATGCGGTAGGAATTTGGTTGAGAAGTTTTTCTGTTTTGCATTAATTCTACCGTCCGCTGGCTTTCTGGTAGGGGAAGTGGCTGAGAGCCATTAACCAGGCCATTGAGGACGTGCTTGCTTTAGGCCTGAACGGAAGGACACGTGTGTCTAGAAGCAGCCAGAAAAGTGAACCACCTGTGTCACGCACGTCTACCTACACTTTCAGCAAAGAGGGCCGACTCAAAGATGCCACGTATGAGGGCCGCTGGCTGTCAGGCAAACCTCACGGCAAGTGAGTGCATGCCCATAATGACTGTTTGTATTCACACTCTATAGAAAAAAAAAACATTCTTTCAAAAATTTCTCTCAATCGCTTAAGCAGGGCTGTCATGCATTTATATTTTTTTCAGGGAACACCGGTGGTAGTCCTGCTTAACGTGCAAAAACCTTTTTTTTTTCATCTTTGAATTAACTGTGGTTCACATGTACTTGTACCTTCTGTTCTTTTCTTTAATAGAGGGACTCTGAAGTGGCCAGAGGGGACAGTTTACTGTGGCACATTCAAGAACGGGTTGGAAGATGGGTCAGTATGCACAGTTTAAGATTAACATACATACCCGTGTTTGCAGATTCTTTGTTATACACTAGCATTTATAGTGTTTGCAAAGACTTCTGTTATGAATAAATGCTGTTCTTTTGATCTTTCTATTCATCAGTTATCCTGATAAAATAAAAACACATGACAGTTTCCACAAAAATATTAAGCAGCACAACTGTTTTCAACACTGGTAATAATGAAAAAAAAAAAAGTCTCCTGAGCACCAAATCAACACATTAGAATGATCATGTGACACTGAAGACTGAAGTAATGACAGCTGACAATTCAGCCTTGATATCACAGGAATAAATTACTTTCTTTAAGATTCTAATAACAAAACAGTTATTTTAAATTGTAATAATATTTCACAAAATGACTGTTCACTATCTTGATCAAATAAATGCAGCCTTGGTGAGAATAACCATTTCTATTTTCTTTGCAGATTTGGAGATTTTATGACGCCCAACACAACCTTAAACAAGTTTGAGCGTTACCAAGGTCACTGGAAGGAGGGGAAAATACATGGCTTTGGCACATTTTGGTAATAATCATGTAAATGTGTATATTATAAAGCTCTTTGAACCATTATCAGTTAATGGGGGACCCTGAACATCTTAAATTGTTATAGTTGCCATCTAGTACCTTGCCCATGGTCTGATTGTGGTCTTTGTAGGTATGCTTCAGGTGAGGTATACGAGGGCTCATTCAGGGACAACATGTGTCATGGTCACGGCATGTTACGGAGTGGAAAGTTAGCCTCTCCTTCCTCCAGTAGTGTGTTTGTGGGCCAGTGGGTTCAAGGCAAGAGAACAGGCTATGGGGTGTGTGATGACTTCAGCAGGTATGTTCATTGTAGTTACCAAATTTGAGATTTTAAACATCCTCCTGAACAATTCAATAATTTGTTTTTATATCTCCCAGAGGAGAGAAATACATGGGAATGTGGCTCGATGACCAGCGTCATGGAGTCGGAGTCGTTATAACTCAGTTTGGATTGTATTATGAAGGAATCTTCTGTAATAACAAGATGATGGTCGGTTGAGATGTTATTATATGCCTGCATTGAAGTGCCTGTAAATTGCTTATATTAAATATACACTTCTTTAGCTGTTTTGGCACTAGATACAGTGTGTACTATTATTTGAGCAACTTACTATGTCTTTTGTCTGATGTAGGGCAATGGGACTCTTCTCTGTGATGATGACACAGTCTTTGAGGGAGAGTTTTTAGAGGACTGGACTCTGTGCGGAAAGGTATCTTTGAATTAATTTGACCAATTTCTGTCACAGTAAATCTATAGAAACTCTATTTGTGATTTGTGCATGTGAATGCTTCTGTGTATCTGAATCTCCTGTGGTTTTATGGATGTGAAGGGTGTTCTGTTCATGCCTAATGGTGACTCTTTGGATGGGGTCTTTGATGGTCACTGGGGAGCCGGTCTAAGAGTGGCTGGAACTTTTACAAAACCCTTTGAAGCTTTGAGGAGAGAAAGAAAGATACCGTAAGTGTGTCATGAATAATGCTTTGGCCTACTGTATATTTATTTGTATTTTTTAATCTGTGTTTGTGTTTGTGTGTGTGTAGTGTGGCTGGTCAACACGCAGTGCCTGCAGAAGAAAAGTGGAAGGCAGTGTTTGATGAGTGCTGGAGTCGATTAGGCTGTGAAGGTCCTGGAGAAGGAGTGCATGAGAAAGCCTGGGAGAACATCGCCATCGCTCTCACTGCCAGACGCAGACAACAGAGATATCGGTATGTACACACACACACAAAGCAATGAACAAGTAAAGATGTGATCACACTTTGTAACATACAGTACAAAATGCTTTATACTCTGCAACATATAGTTAAGGGTTTAATGTTACACTCCAGGGCTTCTTTTTTTAAATTAAATAACAAATACTAATTCAATAGTTCACCAAACTGGAACTTTGGTACACAAAAGACAAAACTTCTTTATTTGTATGCACATGAATGTAAGTGAACAGAGCATGAAGAAATCGTCAGTGATGTATGTTTGTCTATAGTCCAGAGGAGCTAAGCCGATCTCAAACTAAGATGCTGGAGAGCCTTGAGGTGATTCCTCAACATGTGGTCCCTGTTACTGCTGACTCCTACAACAGCATCCGTCGGTATCTCTTGAAGGTGAGATGTTCAAAGGCTTATTAACACTAAGTCTGCACAGCTGTACAGATGCATCAAAAAGCATTTGGACACTTATGGTCACAATTAAGAGTGTCATTGAATTAGATACAAAATATCAATCCAAGTGGCATCTGCAAACAGATGATGCTAGAGCTTTTTCAGAACTAATTTACTTTTCTAAGCCATGTTTGCAATGACACCAACTGGTGTGAAGGGGATTTTTAGTGAAGAGACCTGGCTTAATTTATATAGATCACAGATGTCTTAGCACAGTAACCACAGGTGGTCACATAGTCTTCATCTTGATTTTGATATTGTAAGATGTATATGATTTTTATTTACAATAAATGCCATTTGGTTTAATCATTTCTTACATAATGCAGTTATACTACTGTTCAAAAGTTTGGGGTGGTTACTAACTCCCTTTAGGCCTGTGATACCCCTCATCACCCTCTGGGCTGGCTGCTGGAGACCCTTGTGACTGTGTACAGGATGACTTATGTTGGTGTGGGCTCTAATAGACGCCTCCTACAGCAGGCAGTGGAGGAGATCCAGTCGTACCTAACGCGCATATTTCAAATAGTCAGGTAACACTTCTCATGCTTCAATATGAGTTACCAGAAACCTTTAGTGCTTTAAAAGCCAGCAGAGCATTTTGCAAAGCTCATAGGAAGCATTTGACTTGTGAAGGTTCTGTTCTTCTTTTAGTTTTACTACTTCATTACTTAATGAACTCGGCTAAATGTAATAATGAGGTATACTGTTCATTTCATTACAGTGTCAGAGACCACTGCATACTTGATATTCCTTATAAACTTATAAGGAATATTAAGTATGTTGTTGTTTTTCAAATATTTGTGTTACAAATATGTGCTGCAGGTTTCTGTTTCCTGGTCTCCCTGAGGATGGAGGTTTTATTTTGGATTCTTCCAGTTCCTCAGATGAGGGCACAGAGTCTCTTAACAGCAGTACACATTCAGAAACACCACAGCAGGGGTAAGACAGCATCACTGTCACTCGACTACTGTTTTGTTATTTCTGATTTTCGCACTTTTTAGTTACATTACATTAAGTTAAATTTACTCCGATCTATCTATGATCTATTATCAATCTATTATATATTTAAAAAATCTTTAGTAGCATTGTACATCTCTTTACTGTAACTTCTGATCATTTTAATGGATCCATGCTGAATAAATGTTTCAATTCTTTAAAAATCGCTCTTACCACAAAAGATAAATAGATCTATACAAATGGATAGATATAGTTACTTTCTGAAAGTATGACAGTCTTGTGTTGTGTTACTGCAGTTGGTTAGTGAGCAGCTCAAGTCTTATCCTGCCGGTGTTGCTGCCGAGGCTTTACCCTCCTCTCTTCACTCTCTACACACTAGAGAAAGAGAGAGAGGAGGAGGTGTACTGGAACTGTGTGTTAAGACTCAACAAGCAGCCTGATCTTGCTCTTCTAGCCTTCCTTGGAGTACAACAGTAAGTGACAATAGTAACAGTACCATATGAAATATTATTCTTTTACAGTGTTTATGATACATTTATACTGACCATAAAAAGTATTTGGACACTTCAGTCATTGCAGTAGATGGAAAATATCAAACTAACTGGCATTCATGTTAAACATATAGCACAAACACTTTTTTCAAATAGGACATCATGAAAAGTAGTTTGGTTGATGAAACAATGGATATATTTGATATATGATATTTGGACACCAAAATATCATGTCCTTGGTAATTAATTAATTCATTCATCTAATTCCGAGTATGGGTCACCATACTTGGCCACATGTCACGTCACTTTCACTGTCACTTTCACTTTAATTAGAAGGCATTGCAAAAATGCATTAGTAGTCAATTCACTTTCACAATTCGCAGTAGTCAGTCAGCACTTTCTATGAAGACTATTTATAATGCAGTGCATTTATACAGGCATTTATAAGAGTATTCTTACTTTATTATAATGCATGCATAGTGCCTTATGACAATAATAAAAAAACACTTGTATGTATCATCTCATGAAAAATCGTAATGACAGTTTTAATATTATTTTTCTGACCTATTTGTGGTTATACCTTTTAAGAGTGTGATGAATTATAACACGTAATAAACACCATGTTATATCCACTTAACTTATAACGGAGTATAGTTCCCATATTTGTAATGTATTGTAAGTCCCTTATCTTGACAAAGTGTTCATTGTCTGATTTTAGTAAAGTAACCAAGGTTTTGTCTATTCTTAAACAGCCATAAGATACTATGAGGTGGTTATGAGACATTAAACTTTAAAAATGTCAAGATATGAGACTCATAATACATTATAACCATGGAAACTATAATGGTAACTTGGATATAATGTGTTAATCATGTGTTAAAAGTAATCATTACCTTAAAAATTATAACCAGTATTAAAATGTATTATAACTTGTGTTATGATTATTCATGAGATCATACAAAATACGTTTTTATAAGGCATTATGCATGCAAAAGACAATATTATATTTGCTATGTTTAATATTTCAAACCCAATGAAATCAAATGTGTGTTTTTTTGCTATTTTTAAGCATATAAACATTTAATTTCATAAGCGTGCAAATACTTTTTGTGGCCCCTGCATATACAGTAATAACCAATCAAAGCCCCAGGCCAGGAACGACGGTGGTTTTTACAATGTTGAGTTGAATCAATGTCATTTTGTTTTCCAGAAAGTTCTGCCCAGTGTCTATCTCTGTATTGGGAGAGAAAAAGCAGGTAATGCTTTGTCATTTCTAAGAAAATAATCAGTAATGACACTGATGGTAAAATATAACTTTATTGGTTTAATCGATTTTAATGGACAGGTCTTGCCTTGTACAAAAGACGCCTGCTTTGCAACTGCTGTTGAAACCCTGCAACAGATCAGGTAAAGATAGTCATGTGTGTAACAAAGGCAGAAAACAACAACAGGAACACTTCATTAGCTATCTCCTTTTTATTTTTATTTTTGCTTCTACAGCACAGCATTCACTCCCTCAGACAAGTTGCAGGTGATACAGCTGACCTTTGAGGAGATCACCCAGGACATGCAGGCTCTGCTTGGGCAAGATTTTCTGTGGTGCATGGATGACCTCTTTCCAATTTTCCTCTATGTGGTGCTCCGCGCACGGTACTTTTATAAACCTTTCACTGCATATGGACTTGTTGGCAATAAAGTTATCAGTTGAAACATTAATGTATGTGCAGTTTGTCTGCCCACGTAAAGAACCTGTCGCTTGTGAATGTGTAGGATCAGAAACCTGGGCTCTGAAGTGAGTCTGATAGAGGACCTTACAGACCCCAGTCTACAGCTGGGACAGCTTGGATTCATGTTGACGACTCTCAAGGTGAGAATTAAATTATATATTTTTTCACACAACTTCAGGGACAAATAACATTATTACTTATAAAATCATAAGGTTATGTCGTTAGAATATCAATTTTTACCTTGATTATTTAAGATTAGGCTTGTTAAATTCTTAGTTTGAAAGCTTAATGTAAATTTCTGAACTTGAATCTGAATAATAAATGTATGACATGACCTTTTAAAGTCTTTAAAGGGGTCATCAGATGCCCATTTTCCACAAGTTGATATGATTCATTAGTGTCTTAATGAATAGTCTGTAACATAGTTTGGTTAAAATTTCTCAATGGTAGTGTAAAACAACACCCTTTTTACCCTGTCAAAAACAGCTCTTTTCATAGCGAGCTGTTTCCTTGCATGCCGCTTTAAATGCAAATGAGCTCTGCTCGCCCTGCCCCTCTCTTCTGAGCCGCTCTCTGAGAGACGGTAAACTTTAGCTGCATTTGTCGTGAAACTTGCTAACTAGCACATTATTAGGAAAGGCAATTTGCAAATATTCATTAAAAAACCTTACACTCACTACTTCTGTAGATGAAGCTGGATCACGAATGATTTGCGCGAACATAAGCGCATTTAGGTAGATCGGGGGTGCATTCCCTTCAAAAACAAACGTAATCCACTGCATCTTCAGCGGCTCAGATGTCGGGAGTAAATGACTGATTGCTATGTTCATTATTGCATCCAACAACAGAACACCTCAATCGCTTAGGAGTCATTCTTGTCTACATCTGCTCCAGCGGTGAA